TATAACTGGAGTTTGAAATTATAATTTGCAAAACAATATTTCTGAAATTATAAGATTAAAATCATGATTGGTTAAATACTAGATGCATGTTAACTTCTGTAAGATAAATTTAATGCAAGTCGACTGTCCAGTTTGTGATCCCGCTCTCGATAATAAACGAGATTTCATGGATCAGCCGAACTTTGATGAAGAAAAGAATCAATAGGTAAAATCGTAGTTCAACCATCGTTTTTAATTTTGGGGCTTATATTATTTTTTTGCTAATTGTTCATATTTTAATTGATTGTACTTAATTTATAATTTTTTTTTTTACTATAAAGATAAATTTTCTTAACAATAGAATACATAATTCAATTAAAAAATTATTATATTGTAATTTAAAATTATATAAAGTTACTATATTTTTTACACATTTAAGTTAAATATATTTATATTAGTATGTATAAGTTATAACCACAATTAAGAACTTTTATTTTGTATAAGTTATAACCACAATTAAGAACCGTTATTTTTCAAATCTACGGAATCCAATGTACATGGCCTCTAAACTCTATCATAAAATAATATATTCAGTTTAATTAAATTGTACATTCATGTTAATTGCTTTACAGTAGATTTCACATAAATTGACTCGAGAGCACAGCATAGTTCCATAGCAAAAAAAAAAAAACAGTACGTTACACTATTTTATACAGTAGTGTACTTAAGATTAATAGAAACAAAAGAAGTATGAAATAGGGGAGAAAATCAATATTGATGCTTTTCCAAAACGGGTTTGATTCTTGCTGGTTACCAATTTTAATCGATGTTTCTTGATTCATATTTGAGGATTTAAAATCATTACTTTATGAAACTCGCACCCAATCTTTGACAAGCATACAAAGGGAATTGGTTATCCCGTTTTCGAAAATAAATGAGATTTTATAGACGAGCTTTGATGAAGAACAAGATAGATTCCAATAAAAATTAATAGGTTAAGGTGTAGTTCGATTACCGTTTATATTGATGAGGTTTATACTTTTTTGCTAAATTTTTCATATCCTAATTGATTTTTTAATTAATTTTATTTTTTATTTTACTATAATTTATGTATTTAAGTTAAATTAACGTACAAATATATGTTAATTGTTATTTATAAGTTATAAGTTATAACTTACTATTTAACTTATAAATATAGAAGTTATAAACATATATTTATAACTTATAGTTTATAAATATTTGAATTATTCTTTATAAGTAAAATATATAATATATTGCTAGAACAAACTCTTAAAACTTGATTACTACATGTATTTGAGTTAAAAAATATAAATTAGTTATAAACCTACAATATAACCTAGCAAGACCACAACAAAAAAATGTCTTTTTTGTCCATTTTTATGCAATCAAAGCTTTAAGCCCTTGTGTGAGTGTGTAACGCACGTGCCGTTTTAAACTCTGCAAATGAAAAGTTCTACATTTATGTTAAGTTTTTAAAAATAAATTCGACACAAATTGAGCTGGTAGCACAACAGAGTACCGTCACAAAAATGACACATTGAATGTTTTAATATTAATTAAAGGTAAACCTGCAACATAGTCTAGCAAGGACACAAAAACATAAAACTTCCATTTTTAATTTGCAATCCATAACATGCCCATTTAATCTCCAATGAGATAATCTATCTAGTTTAAATAAATTCTATATTTTTTAAAAGTAAATTTCTCAAAAATTCAATAGGTAGCACAACATAGTGCCAACAAAAATGACACATTTCACTGTTCTAGATAGTAGTTTACTTGAGATTAATCAAAACACACAAGTGGTATCAATACTGGTATCAATACTTTCTCAGAAGTGGTTTGATTATGGTGAATTACTAATCCTAAGTAGTAGTTTACTTAAGATTAACATAAAACCCACATTTTAATAAATTTTGGTTGCAAGTAACTAATTCATATATGTAGAATGGTCATAAATGGTTAGAGATAAATATAATGTGTTCAAAGAGAAAAAATAAAATAGTGTAATATTATAGTTCAGAAAAATGGATTTAGATATAAAAAAAAAAAATCAGAGAGAGACATTGTTAGAGATAAAGGACTCAGATAGATGATATGGTTAGGATGTTGTCAGGGAGTAAAAAGACACGATTAGATGATTTCTTAGTATATATTGAACTCAAATCAGGTGCGGAGCACGTGCAGTCTGCTAGTAATAATAAATGCAAGGGGCATGAATTTCTAATTTTGAATAATTTGAAACTATTACAATATGGGCTCTAGTGGTTGAACAAAAATATATTGATTCTTTCTCAAATTACTGACTATAACCCCTATTCTCCTATAAGCAACCACCACTTATCATTATCATTGTACAAGATGGGAAGAGATCCGTTGTCGCCATTTCTGTTCACTTTGGTGACAGAGGGTTTTAGCCTAATGCTTAAAAGAATTGAACAGAGATGTAGGTTCAATGGCTTTAGGGTGGCTGTTGGGGGACTAATTATCTCACACCTCCAATATGTTGATGATACACTCATCTTTTGTGGTGTAGAGGTGGATCAGGTACAAGCGATCTCTTTATTCTTACGATATTGTGAGGTTGCCATTGGTCTCAAAGTTAATTTTTCAAAAACCACTTTAGTGGACATTGGTGTTGAGGTTGCCTTGGTTAAGGATTTAGTTTTGACGATGGGGTGTACGGTTGGTAGTCTTCCTTTTAATTATCTAGGAATTCCTATTTCGAATAAAAGGCTACCAAGATCGGTGTTGAACCCAGTAATGCATAGAGTTATTTCTAAGCTGGATTTATGGAATTCTAAATTCTTATCTCTTGGAGGGCGTGTTAATCTGATCAAATCAATTCTGTCTAATATGCCTGTGTACCTGCTATCCTTGCTTTATGTACCAGCCCCTATTGTTAAAGAAATTGAGTGGCTTATGCGCAATTTTTTATGGGACTTGTTTAATGGTAACAGGAAATACCATTTGGTGAGTTGGGATAAAGTTTGTACTCCTAAAGCTGAAGGGGATCTGGGGATTCGCAAGATCAAACTAGTTAATTTCGATATGTTATCCAAATGGTGGTGGAGGTCTTTAAATGATGGAGATCAATTGTGGTAGTAAGTTTTGGTTGCCAAATATGGTGTGGATAATAGTGGCATTATTCGTCAAGGAAGAGGAGGAAATTGTCAATCCCAGTTGTAGAAAGGTATATACTCTACTAAGGAATTGGTGATGAGAAATATGAGGTGGGAAGTGGGTTGAGGGCCCACTATTGATTTTTGGAATCATAAGCGGCTGGGTGATGGACTGTTGAGGTCTAAGTATAAGGAAGTGTTTAATAGACAGTCAATCAACATTTAAAGGTGGAGGAGGCATAAGGTGGACTGTTAATAGATTTTCCTGGGATATTCGTTTGAGTTATAATAGGGTGCCGGATGTTGTTTTTAATCAGTTTTGTGAGCTGTTGCTAGATCTTGATGCGGTTTATATATCCAAGCATCATGAGGATGAGGTTGTATGGTTGTTAACTACAGATGGTATCTTCTTGGTGAAGTCAGTGTATCATTTATTATTTCATGATAGACTAAGACGGGAACAACCAAAGCTCAGATCCTTTAGGAAATGTTGAATCCCACATAAGATTGAAATATTCTTGTGGACTCTTTTGCAAATTAAAGTGCTAACAATTGACAATTTGAAGAAGAGGGGGAAGATAATTGTCATATTTACTTGTTGTGTAAAAATGATGCGGAGACTGGAGAGCATTTGTTCATTCATTCCCTATTTACTTCAGCATTGTGGACCTGGGCCTTTCAAGTTACTGGTTTTCAAATGCCTTTACCAATACATCTTATTGATCAGTTAGATCAACTCTCGATTCCTTCTTTGCTTAAAAAAGGGGTCATGATTTGGCAGATTTTCTGGGCTTGAATCCTTTGAGAAGTTTGGTTGGAGAGAAATAGGTGAATTTTTTAGGGCTTCAGTTGGGAGATGGATCGTGTAAAGGACAAGATTTTTCAAAATGTTTGGTTGTGGTTTTCTTCTATGATAGAAGGTATTGGGGTTTCAAACATTGATGTTTGGCTAAATGTGAGGAGTTTGTTATACCAACGGATCTCTAGACCCATTATTTGTTGTCAATGGACCCCACCCAATCTTGGATATCTTAAGTTGAATTTTGATGGTAGCTTTTTTGGAAATCCAGGACGTGATGGTTTTGGTGGTGTGATTAGATATTATCAAGGTGTAGAGATAATCACATTTTGTGGCTTGTGTGGGATAACTACAACAAACCAAGTAGAAATGTTAGTTATACTTCAAGGTTTAAAGCTGTTGAAGGATCATTGTGATCATTTCGAATGGTTGGTGGAAGGGGATTCTCTTTAATATTATCAATTGGATGTCCGCATCTAGTAAGCCACCTTAGAGCTTGAGAAGGTTTTGATTGGAAGCTCTGGATATTTGTCGCAATAAGGTAGTAGCTTTCAATCATGTCTTTAGGGAAGCGAATGAGAGGGCAAAGTTGTTTGCTAAGGATGGAGTGTTGGCCCCAGTTTTTGGTGCTCAATTTCTTATTCGTTTAATTGTTGTGTTTTTCATCTCTTCACTGTAAATGTTGGATTGATTGAGTAATAAAGTCATCGTGACCTTTTCAAAAAAAAAAAACAAGAGAAAGAAAAATAAAAAAAATAAAAAAGAAAGAGGGGAAGAGATCCATGTAACATGGACAGGTGTCTTTTGAGGTTTTCTGCGCTTGTTGACACAATAATGATGCGACACATATAACTAATGCCTTACAAACCTTAGACAGTTTTTAAATTTCACTATAAAATAACTCAATATCACATGCGTGCATCCCCTTCTTTAACCAATCTACATATTTGTTGTGATTAAAAGCCTAATTTTAGAATTGGAGTTTTTAGCACTCATATCAATTTTAGACTCATAAGCATCCTTATCTTTGTAACATAGGAAGAAATTTCAAAACTTATATTTTTGTTACCATCATGCAGGTTACAGAGCTAGCCGATGGCCTCTTCATTGGGTGCTCTTTCAATCACGTAGTGGGGGATGGGACCTCCTTCTGGAACTTCCTCAACTCCTGGTCTGAACTCTCCAAACACATCAACGACAAGGGCGAAGCCTGCACCTTATCTCGACCGCCTACCATCAGGCAATGGTGCCCTGCAACCAATCCCCCGGTGTGCCTCGACCCTCCAATTGACAGTTGGTCCCTGCCTCCAAAGCCCTCACCCCCGCTCTTCAACGATCGAATCTTCTATTTCCCAGCCCACTCAATATCCAGCCTCAAAGCCAAGGCTAACTCTCAAAATATGGACGCCACTTCACCAATCTCCTCTTTCCAAGCCTTCTATGCCCATGTCTGGCGCACCATCACTCGTGCTCATGAGCTTCCAGAAGCACAAGAGACATGGTGCGGTCTGTCGGTGTCATACCGTTCAAGGGTGGTCCCACCCATGGCTCCTTATTTCTTTGGCAATGTTGTCAAACCGATTTTCTTGAGAACCACAGCTGGAGAGCTTTTGGGTAGAGACCTTGGCTGGGGTGCTAAGCTCATTCAAGATGCCATCGCAAAGCAAACTAATGAGGAAATATGCTCATGGTTGGAGGCCAATGCAAAGGCTCCAATCGTCTTTGAAACTACGGGGTTAACAACATCTCCGGGTGTGTTGATGGGGAGCTCACCTAGGTTTGATGTTTATGGCAATGACTTCGGTTGGGGGCCACCCCTGGGCGTGCGCGTCGGATACGATAACAGGTTTGATGGCAAGTTGTTTGCTTTCCCAGCCAGAGAGGGCAGAGGCGGCATTGAGCTACATTTTTACATGAATTCAAATGCCATTGCTGCACTCGAGAGAGACAAAGAGTTCATGGAGGCAGTGGAAGAGAAGACTGATTGATTTATTTATAGAGGGAGAAAAAGTGAGAACTAGAAGCCCAGACGATTTTTAACTGTTGTGATGCTAATCTATTTTCAGCAACGCTATCATTTATTAGAGTTTGAAGATCAAACATTGGATTGAGGTTTCCTTCTTTATCAATCTCTGATGCGAATAATTTTTTAATACCATTAGGACCATGATTTTTTGAAAGCCAAATTTAAAACACACTATGAATAGAAGTCGTCAAGAATAACCCTCGAGTTTGGACTGAAAACTCTGTATACATTAGTCCACAACTTGTGTGATGCTGCGACACTCTTGAAATCGAATAAATTCACATCCTATAGGAATTTTTTGGTTTCCTTATTAATTGTTGATTTCGTACCTCATCCAAACATGTAGATAATTCTAGTTTCAGAATATATTTTGGCTCTCTCTCGACTACAAAAACTCACTTTGAGCATTGAACTTGGTAATAGATTCTCTCCCCCTTCTTGCTCTGAACTCTCAAGATCATTAAAGAGAATCCCTACTTATTAACTTTTTTAAAAAATAAATAAACAGTTATGGTTCAATTAGATAAAACAAAAGTTTTTTTTATTGAGTGATGGACATGTATCAATTATGGTTCAATTAGACGAAACAAAATTTTTTTATAGAGTGATGGACATGGATCAATTATTTTCCTCTTGTGACCTAGATCTACATGGCCATCTCACTTAGGGTATGTTTGATAGCACCCTAATATCCTAATAATTATAGATAATATAAAATCTTTTATAATTTAAATTATATCAGTTTATATGTCTTGTTTGATAGGATCCAATCTTATATTCTAATATCTAAATAATACATAAATATCTGAATCCCCAAGAACGCAACTTCTAGTTGAATTTTATAGGATTCTATTTCTCCATCAAAATTTGGTTCTCTCCCCATACTCATCTCCCTCCCTCTCTCTCCACATCATTCATGAGTTAGGCTATCACGACCCCACCCCTTGACCCCATACCATACATGCCGGAGGGTGATAGAATGTGAGATTGGGACGTGAGATGGCAAACACCACTCAGGTGGGAGTGGCTCAATATTTATAAAAGGTCGAATCAAGAGCAAACCACGAAAGAAAAATTAAATCCATTCATCATTAACAGAGATTTAACAAAAATGCAAAGCCATCTCCATATACAACCATTCTCCAAAATTTCCTTACTAATAGTTCAAGGCACTAAACATCAACCAACAGCTAAGTGGCACTGCTACCAAACACCTACTATTGAAAGCTTCCAAAGTCCCTCCATCCACTCCAAGCCTTATGCGTCCCAATGCACCGATTAGCTGCCCTCTCCCCTGGGGTTGGAAGTTATCACTCTACACGGATGAAAATGAATAGATTGAGCTAATAGCCCAGTAAGTAGATCCACACCATTGCATTTTGACCTGTAATTGATAAAAACAAATAGGCAGTGTTCACCATTCACATAGGCATCACGAGATTATCTTTGTTCATGCCTTTCAAATTTAGCAGTATAAGAAAGTACAACTCATTTATCAGAATAACATACTGTGCATAAGCCATCAGTCATTTCATCTTTAGTAGAGCAAAAACACCCACAAAGCACATAATGCACATAGTAGAAGCTAGAGTGACCTACTCCTGAAGTAGAAGCCCCATCGATCGGGCCAAGTCAATCCTATAGTTGGAACTTCTACCCTCATTCAGGAGGGAATATAATGACAAGTGGGTAACCCACTTCATACTGTCCTCACACACACACACACACTTATCCCCAGCACGCTTTGGGGCTTTTGATAGGTGGTGGCCTTGCAAGACACAACCCTCTCCTTATGCCCTTCTGGCGAGAGGGCGTTACAATATCATTTGGTGCCCCAATGCATAATGCCCATAACATTTGGGGGGGGGGGGCGTGACCCTCCCTGTTACTCAATTTTACCTCCCAACCCCATTCCTATCATTGGGGTCGGGGCACAGTCAGTAATTACCGGAAAAACAGTATCCAACTACCATTGGATGTCCCATTGCATAGCGTTCAGTGTCACAGTATATCATAGTATGACAGTATCATAGTGTTTCACAGTATAACCGTATCCATGTATTGGTCAGTATCACAGTGGCTCACAGTATCAGTATCACAGTATAAAACAATATAACAATATCCACTACCAATGGGTGTCCTATTGCGTAGTGGTCAGTATCACAATGGCTCTTAGTATCAGTATCACATTCTAAAACAATATAACGATATCCACTACCAATGGGTATCTCATGGCGTAGTGGTCCGTAACACAGTAGCTCACAATATCAGTATCATAGTATAAAACAATGTAATAGTATCCACTACCAATGGGTGTCCCATTGCGTAGTGGTCAGTATCACAATGTAACAATGTGCATGCAAAATCGAACTTTAAGTTCACATACATTTTACTATTCCCTGCCAGGCTATTCAGAAGCAATCATAGTATCATGGCCTTTCACGACAATTGATTTCATCTCGTTTGTTCAGATTAATCATTACACCACTTGTATAATTCATGCACAATTTGGGGATATACTATTCATTTCATCAGTGGTATACATATATACATATCGAGGCATGGTATCTAATTCACAAGAAATCCCAATTAAATCTCAATATTAACTTAATACAGATCTGTCAATCATTTATTCAATGGAAATTTTCAGTCATTTGATCAATCGAAAGCGTAGTACGAAAAAGGGGTTCAGTTCCAAATTTTTTGTCATTTCTCATAAGGACGTACTGTCATAAACAAGGACATAACTTTTGATCTATTCAAAATTTGGAGATGATTCCAAGATCAATTTCGTAATAGATGCGCATATCTTACAAATAGGGTGGTTTGAAAGAGTTTGGACCTCGTTTGACCAATCAAAAGCTCAGTACAATGGAGGTATAATATCTGAAATCTACTGTACATTTGTGATAATGGCATGTCCTATTTAGCAAAGTTATAACTTTCAATCCATAAGGCATTTTAAGATGGCTTCAAAACCAAAGCTCAAGTGAAAACACGTATCTTTTCAACAAGGGTTTGAACTCCATTTGGTCATTCAAAAGTTCATGACAACAAAAATGACAGTTTTGGAAATTTGGTGAAATCTGCCAACAGCGACATATTCTTACAATGCATAACTTTCAAACTAAAGAAATTTCGAAATAATTTCAATATGCAACTTTAAGCACATACAGAGATCTTTCAAATGGCAGTGATTTGAGCGCAATTAAACTCCTTTTGGTTAGTCAAAAGGCATGGCAACATAAGCGACGGTTATAATTTTAGAGACAACTGTTAACAGTGATATGCTTGCACATTTGGAAGAATAACTCATCATTTATGAAGAATCTAAAATAAAGTTTAAACATAAACATCATAGTAGACACATATTTTTTTCTAATGGCAGTGATTTGAAGTCATTTGAGCCTCATTTGACTATTCAAAAGCTTGTTACAAAAACATAAATATTTCCAAAAATTCACAGTGTGCACATGACATGCCTCAAAAAATGCTTAATAACTTTCAATTCACAGTAAATAACATCATGAAGTCATTTCCATATTGATTTAGACATTCGTGGACACTTCTCTGCAGATTTTGTGAGCATTAGGGACATTCTCAATATTAAGATTCATCATGCAACATAGACATCGGTTCTGTAAAGCAGTGCACTAACCACTATCACATAGTCACTTTCCCTTACTCATTTCATGCTTGTACTATTTTAGTTTCATGCCTCAACAAGTTTAGATGCAATGGTGGGTTGATCCACTTACCTAGTATGTAATGGTGCCTTCAAAACTCCCTTTCACAATCCATATCAAGCTTCTTACAGTGGTTCTTTAATGGAGTGACAGTGGGCTCTAAGTGTTGAGCTTTAGAGAGAGAGAGAGACAGAGAGAGAGACTTAAGTACATGCATTCTGGAGGTGGCAGCCCAAAGATTGACAAGTGGCAAGCCCCACACATGCAATAAGACAAGTGGTGTGTGTGGCAACATGCCTTTGGCACATGACAGTATTGATCATGCACGGCGGTAGTCCATAACTGCTACTTCTTGCTGCCGTGCATGTTTACTTCTTCTTCTCTCACTGCTGCACGCTCTCACTGCCGCGTGCACTCCCACAGCCGCGCGCTCTCACTGACGCGTGCACTCTCATTGTCGTGCGCTCTCTCACTGCCGTGCGACTCCCACTACTGCACACTCTCACTGCTGCATGCTCTCCCACTGCAGCAAGCTCTCACTACCGCACGCATCCTCACTGCAGCGCTCTTCCACTGCCTCGCGCTCTTACTGTCGTGCGTATGTTTCCTTCTTCTTGTCTCTTCTTCTTTTCTCTTTTCTTACTGCCGCGTGCATACACTGTCGTGCGCCTTCCTCCTTATCCCGCTATGCACTCTATTAGGTCGAGAAAATCATGGTCCTCACATCATCCCTCCTTAAATAGGATGTTGTCCTCAAAATCATCTCAGTTAATCAAATAACTAGGAGTACTTATCCCGGATTTCATCTTCTCGCTCCCATGTCGATTCTTCCCTTAAGTGGTACTGTCATAACACATGGACCAAGGGAATTTCTTTATTGTGCAATACCTGCACTCTCTTGTCCAGTAGTTCAATCGATCATTCAATATAAGTAAAGTCTTCTCAGATCAGAATTGGTTCATTCTTCAAGACATGGGACGGATCAGGCTGATATTTTCTCAACATTGAGACATGAAAAACATCATGAATGTTAGCCAACCTGGGTGGTAGGGCAAGTCAATATGCCACAACTCCGATTCTTTTTAAAATTTTAAAGGGTCCAATAAATCGTGGGCTCAGCTTTCCCTTCTTACCAAATCTCATAATGCCCTTAGTTGGCGATACTTTCAAGAAGGCCCAATCACTCACTTCGAGTTCGAGGTCTTTCCTTCAATTATTAGTGTAACTTTTTAGGCCACTCTGAGCAGTCTCGAGCCTCTCCCGAATCAAGGCAATATTTTATGAGGTCGCTTGAGCAATTTTTGGCCCTAACAACCTCCTTTCACCGACCTCATCATCCCAACAGATTGGTGATCTGCACTTCCTTCCATACAAGGCTTCAAAAGGTGCCATCTAAATACTGGCTTGGAAACTGTTG